ACATCTGGTGAAAATTTCATGTCATTAGCACCTCTAGTAATATATTTACTAAGAAAAATGTTGACGTGTTCAATACTTATTTTACCCGCTGTATATGGCCCCACTTCCTTGATCGTGGCCAGTTGCACAGACAATAAACGTCTGCACTTGGCCCAGCTAGTTCTTTTTGTATGGGTTCTACACATAACATTCAAAACTTATTCTGTATTTGCTCTCTTGTCTCCTACACACATCAGAGTAACGCAATAATTTTCATTTTGTTGGGATTGTTTTAATTGGTTGCTGTATTTGTTTTGTGCACTTGCAACTGTTTTTTTTTTTAATCTGCTTAGGAAAGTGGATGGAAATGAATTGTTCCGCTAATTCCAGCACATCTAAATTAAATCATATGTGTTGTTTTAAATAAATGAATTAAACAGAACAAAGCAGGTGCAACAACAGGCTGAATAAAAGTAGAGTTTTTAGACTAATAACTGAGCACGACTTCCTTTTATGTAGCATTCAGTGTATATTTCTTAAAACCTTTCGTATATTGTAGTTAGGCAGCGCTGCAGACCACAGAGATGGGCTCTGAAGTTTAAGCTTATGTAAGTCTGGCCGCAAGAGACCCTGAAACTCCAATTTTTCTGGATTGCTGTTGTTGGAAGAACACAGTCCCTCTGCGGGAGATAAAACAAGCAGCCTAGTAAAACGAGTCCCTGAGAGGGACCGAACACCATCAGCACCAGGAACTTCCCCGAACCACCCACATCGAAGGTCGCAACACTTTGAGAACAAAACACGAGAGAAGATCACTCAAGTTTGCCTCCCAACTTTTGAACCCTTTTCACGTTGTGCTTCAAAAGGAACACATAAACCTCAAGCTGTGTTTTTCCAAAGATTATTTACAACGCATCATAACAAGCTGTACCCATCCACGTATGTTTCGAAGCGAAAGCATGCTACATAAATCTGGCGAGCCATGCTGGTTCAAAGACGCGTTGTTGCAAAACCTTAGATTCAGAAGCAAGCACGAGTTTACGCTTGAATGATTTTCAAGGTGTCTCTGAGGTCTCGGAGGTAAAAACCCCTATTTGTCTGGATCTGGAGCCGTATCAACACACCATGTGATGCTTCCTGCAGATTTATTCTTAAACCCCCACTCATTTTTTTTCATTTTTTATAAGGAATGTGCAAACCAGGCGCTGGATCTGGCAGGAGTGACTGTGCATGCATGTGTGTGTCCTATGCAGTCATGTCAACAGGGCAATCATTCATGTAGAGGAGAGTATACACTTAGAGGGTTTAGCTCTGCCGGCAGGTGATGATGGACAAGCCTTTCAGGGAATAAGTGAGGGGCGGCGGGGGGAGCAGGATTCGATCATAGGAATCAGGAAACCACTTTGTTTCCTTGCCTTTACACGAGGATGCAACGTAGGAACAAAATCACACAAAAAGGATGAACATTGCTGTTTGTCCGCTCCATTGTGAGAAACCCTCTTGTGTTCGGTCAGAGCCGTGACTGAACACTCTGCCAGTCCAGGAGGGGACAGACTTCTTAATTGCCTCTTTTGAGCTTCCTCCATCTTTCCCTCCTCCCTTTCTGTTGGCTTAGAGGACAGGTACCGGAAACACTTATTCATTAACAACCTGGAGCTTTTTAGCGTCACTGGAGCACTCTTCACAATGTGAGGGGGAAACTCAAGAGCTGAGAGTGTGTGTGTGTGTGAGAGAGAGAGAGAGAGAGGGAGAGGAAACAAGAGGTGATGGGGGCTAGAGGGTGAGACAYGACCATTCGAGGGATGGTGGTGGGCCGGTTTGGTGACCCGGGGTCCTCCAGCAGATGAGGGGAGTGCTGGTGAAAGAGATCTTAACAACATTAGAACTCAATGAACCATGTCGCCTGCAAACAACCACAGGGAGAGCCCCAACAATTTTAAATAACCCAAAGTCTTGTATTTGTGAGAACACAAGTGCTTGAATTCTTTTTTTTTTTAAATCAGGGAAAGCACTTAAACACTTTTGTGTCACGCTAAAGGCAACAATGTTTTTGTGTGAAGCATTAAACTGTTTTAGCAACATATTTGATCAATCACCGAACAGATATAACTTTTGGAAAAATATGGCTACCACAGCTGAGCAAACACAAACACAAAAATATGTGCAAATCAACCATTTTTACAGATAATGAGTTCAAATTTAYTGTGGCATTAACCGAGAGTCCTCCCCAACATGTACTCTGAGCAATCGATGAAAACACGAGCTCTGCTGTAAAAACATCACTATTACAATCAACTCTGTCCATCTGTTAGCAAAATATCTCATGAAACTTTGAATGAATTTTAACGAAACTTTCAGAAATTAGCAACCACAGCTAATTGARGTTAAACAGAAAAAATGTCTATAATTTTGTCAAATTAAGGTACAGATATAAAGTTGGTACGGAAGTAGCTGGAAGTCATTCTCGTATTGCACGAGACCCGTTTTTTGTGTCTTGCCTGCGGAGCGGCACAGGCAACACGTGCATTAGTTTACTACCTTTTGCTCGGGTTTTCTCATGAAACGCCAACATAAAAAAGTCAAGTCCAGTTAGAGAAGCTCAAAACATGAGAAGCYGCAGCCGAGCATGGAGGTTTCCAAACACACCCGGTCATTTGTAAGATGTCAGCCTGCAGTTTCTTTCTTTTCTTTTCTTTTTTTTTCACCCCCCTCCTCCTCTCTCTTTGCTTGGACAGCAACCAGAAGAGTTTGGTGCTTTTATTGGCTTTAAAAGATAATTACATGCCTACTAACTGTCTCTTCTGGCTGATCCAGGGTCAGCGGGTTTRTTAGCCTCTCTCAGAATCAGGTTCAGATTGAGGAGTGTTTGATTGTGATTCAGACCAACGAAAGGGGGACACTCTTTTGGACCGAAGCACCTTTTTTTTCCCCTCTCCTCTGCAGGGTGGCTAAAGTTTTCTCTCCCAAGCTTCAAGTATGAGAATTAAATAGGTGCCACCCATGCAGCTGACAAGGCGCTCTCACTCTATTRACTGTCAGAGCAGCGAGCTCAGGGCCACATGCCCTTTTTCATTACTCCAAACAGGCCAGCTGTATTGTAACTACAACCAATTTCCTTGCAGTCTATAAAGCTGTCAATCAAAATCGTTCGGGATTGGGAGTGGAGGAGGGAGTCGCAGGGGCGGAGCAGGGTGGGCTTTGAGGGAGGGCTGCAGGGCTCGGMAGGGACCAGATGTTTTTACACGGTAAGGAGGAAGAGGAGCGTCGAGACGGCAGGAGGAGGTCGTGTTRACCTGCTCGACAATCAGCTCACAGATCAGACCGAAATCGGATGGTTTTGTTTTTTTAAATTCCATTTATTAAATTTATGAACAAAGAGACAAATAAGTTATATTTTCATTTGTTAGAATTCTATCAGTGTTTGAACATTAATATTTAGAGAGCTAGTACAATTGTCTACTTTCATGGCTAGCTTCTGAGAAACCCATAGAAACAGCTGTCTCTCTCCTAAAAATCGAACATAATACTGAAGGGGAGGTGGCAATGTTGTCTCACACGACAGTTAGCAATGAAAGTGTGCACCTTAAGGCTTTTTTTTATTCTGTTACTGTATATCATTACATATAAACTCTTTAGAAATATACTTCTGTCAAATACCTTGACCACTACTATGTACACTACAAAAATAAATTTTCATATAAATAAATTATATGGCATACATTTATCTTTGTAACTGAAAACAGCATAAATCCACGCCAACTGAGACCAAAAATGGCAGTCTGAAAGTCGGATTTTTTTCCTTTTAAATCCTCTAAAAGCTATGATGAAATCTGTAGTGTAATGTGTTATATACTCTTTTTCCTATTTAACATTAGTAAGCACTTTATACAGATCAACTCCATTAATGTAAAAAAAAAGAAAAGAAAAAAAGACTGTAATAGTGTTTTTTTTCCAAGACATAAAAATCCCTGCATTTGTTATCCACTGGCATCTCAACAAAAACATAAAAAACACATTTTATATTACAAAAATATAAATATCACAATTATTCAAACAAAAGACAATATATATATATTTATAAAAATGAATAAAATAGTTGCCAGCTCTGATTCTCTCCGCTCCTGCCAATGTGACAATGGGAGAAAACTAAACAAAACACAAACAGAGTAACCTATTTCATGCAAGTAGCTGATGGAACGGTGAACAGGAAGMGGAAAAACTGCAAAAATATAAATAAATAAAATAAAATAAAAATAAAAAATAAAAAGCTTTGGGATGACGAGATACAGGAAGTGATGTTTTAGAGGGAGAGGGAAGGTTGCAGGTATGCCTGCTGCTGGGAGTGACGCATGCAGATTTAAACTGGCCGTAGCTGCTGGGGGGAGAGAAGGGGCCGGCGGAGCAAAAACAATGACCTGCAGCCGCCCCCTCCACCCACTTCAAGCTCAGGCTTGTGCAATTTAGCAGCTGAGGGGAGACATCCAATTAGTGTCACGGCCTTATGCTGTGGATTTTTATGAGCTGAGGTCAGCAGGGACAGCTGTGGTCCAAACTAGGACCAGTTGTCTCCTCTGTATTTAAAAAAAAAAGGGGGGTGGGGCTCAGACAGTGTGAGGGGATGGACTTGAGCAGACACATGAAGCACAACGCGAGGACAACACAGGTCTTGGCCCGTAGCGAGCTGTGAGGTCTAGCTTATTGAATGAACAGAAAGAGKTACTTGAGGTGAGATATTTGTGTGAATGAAATGCAGTCAAGTGCCGAATCGGGTCGTACAGTATATACAGTCTGAACTTTAGCTTATCTGCATGACAAAGRCCCCTTACGGTGCAGAGGTAGCACCTTGTTTTGACCCTGTTCCAGAATCAGTAACGTGAAGATCCCTGTAGAAAAAAAAAGGTGGAGTAAATTTTTTGAGGTGCGTTTTGATGTTGAGATGGTTTTGAGCCTGCCAGGGTTTCAACAACACATAACCTTGTACAGTAAAATACAACCAGCCTAACAGACAGTTCTACAAAGCTGAGTGCAGAAACAGGTTTGAAGGCAAAAAAAAAATATATAAAAAAAAAACAGAAAAAAAAACACAAATGAAAAACAGCTTGTAAAATTTCTTCATATCAGCTCATCTTAAATAGCACGCATGGCGTGTCGAGTTAAAACACTATTTCTTTCATAACTACCACAGGTTTGTGATAAAAAAATTAATAGTTTTTCAAGCGTACCTTTATACAATATTAAACACACGCACGCAAACTCACGCACATATTTACCCTCGCTTTGTTTGATAATCCTAACATTTTCCCTCTTGTTGTAAATGAGTGTAGATTTTCTGAGGATGCATCGGGTGAAGAAGCCAAACAATGATCGAGTTATTTCACATTACGCAGCCCTACATACTGTACCTTCTTGGAACGCACACATTCATATACCTGGACAGATCACTTCTTTTGTTGACGGAGACATTTGCATAGAGTTACAAGTTATTTTTAAAAAGATATTCTGAGCAGCAAAAGTGAATGCTGACAGGCATTTGTTTTCCTAGATTACACTTCCTAATGACATAGAGCCAAAGAAAAGAGATCTATCGCCATCATTTAGACATCTGCACACACACAAACTCACACACACACATACACACACACACCATATAAAACGACAGCCCTGGTCTATTAACATGAGGATTTTTGTACAGTTCCTAAATTTATACCTATTTTCTGTTCATATTTACATATGTATACATCTTTTAAATATAGATAAAAATATCTAAGACAACAGTCCAATAGGTTACAGTAACAATAAGCACCATTATGGCAACACTGGCGAGCTTCTCACTACACGTGATAGGAGAAAGCGAGGTTGGGGGTAAGCGGAGCTGGGCCACGCCAAGCTGGGTCAGCTGCTTAGTAATACAGAGGAGTCCATCTTTGGCCATAGTGCTTCTGTTCTCCAAAACTGCAAACAAAATTGCGAGGGTTGTTTTCAGGGCCAGGTTTATTGTGAAAGTAAATATTAAAGTTAACGAATCTCACCTCAGCTAGCCCGTCTGCCTCTGTTGCTTTCAGCTGCCTCTAGCTCCAAATCTTGGAGCTCCATGGCCTCCACCTTGACATCTCTGGCCTCTGTATGGGTATAGACTGGCACATGTGGGTCCTGGAAGGCTGTCTCCTGCTCCTCCGGCCCTGATGGGCAGTYACTGTCTGCTGCTGGGTATGAGGAAGCTGGGCTCTGCGGGGAGAAGGAGGCCGGGTGGACGGCGACAGTGACCGAGGCTGAGGCTGTGACCGTGGTGATGGGTTGACAGAACGGCGTGCTGCTCGGGTGCTGGTGTGGGAGGTGGTGATGAGGCTGTGGGTTGTGGGAAGAGTGGGCCCTGTGGCCGGCTGAGTGTTCTCTGGGTCCGTGCGAGCCGTGGCGGCCCCCAGCCTCAGTAGCGGTTTCGAAAGCGTCCGTGCGCGGGCAGGCTGGGGGTGGGGCCTGCCGTGGCAGGTGGCTCCTGAGGTTCCTGCTGCTGTTTTGCTGAGGCGTCCCATGCTGGAGCCCAGAATCGCAACCCTGAAAGGGATAAGACTGCAGAACGAGACGCTCATTAGAAACACGAGCATCGAAAATGAAAACACGCAAATGAAACGTGCGCATTTCCTTACTGAAGACACAGTATAGGCCGGAGGATCAGGCTGTCTGGGTGAACGCCTGTGTCCTGACCCCTCTCTCCTTTCCTCCTGCGGCCTGGCAGTTCGACCCCTGCTGGTGTGGAGGTGGTACTGCTGCTCCTCCGTTTGCCCTCGGTGTGAGTTCAGGTTGTGACTCTGCCCTTCCTGGCTGATTCCAGACGCAGTGGTGTTAGAGCTGAACTCCGAGTCCGATGAGTCMGTTGCTGCGCCCGAGGCGGTGGCAGCTCCGGCGGTTTGGTGAGGACGGACTGAGAAGTGGACCACTCGAGGACGGGCCTCTGGAGACGGGGTGGCTAACTGACTGCGGCCATCAGCTGGCGATACCTGAGRAACGAAAACAGAAACAATAGGATGTAAAACCAGCTTATAGTGGCTGATTAATATTCCCTTTAAAAAGCTCACCTCTGGGTAGGGTCCAAAGTAAGAAAGTAATACTGGGAGAAGGACCAATCCATTCAGAACTCCAAGAACTGTTAGAATGGCTAACACTGCAAAGAAATACCTGCAACARAACCAACATACACAAGTTAAAAGGTGAGCTAAACCACAATGCACAATTAATAACTGAACTCTGAGGATTTAACACATTCTCACTCCCGACTCGTCACATATTGACGCTTATCCAAGGTTCCCTCTGCGMCTTATTTTGACGCATCYGGTACCCCCYTCGCATCAGTTATTGACGCACCAGGCATTTCRGGGTTCCCTTGACGTCTGGGTTTGACACATTAGGACACAAAATATAGGGGTCTTTGAGTTGGGGTCCGTGTTTAATATTAAGGGTCAGGGTTCACGGTTAGTTTTCGGTAGTGYGGTCAGGAATAYGATGACTAGGGCGAATATTAGATAARTTTAGGCTTTGGGACACSTAGTTGATGTGAATTTCCTACACTTTATAAAAATAGTTAATTTTAGGTACTAGGGTCAGGGTCAGGATGTCTAGAGTGAATAAAGRTAATTTTAGGTTTTGGGACYGTTAGSTTTGTGCATTTTCTACACTTTCTGAAATTATGACAATGGATTCTMCCCCATCTCGTCAATAACTGACGRYAGGGMMGTACCCGACGCGTCAAAATCTGARACAGAGYGAACCTTGGAAAAGCGTCAATATGTGACGACTTGGGAGTGAGAATGGGTTGGACCATTAGGCCGAAAATGCCAACATGCATTTTTCTTTTGGCGACTTCTACGATACAACAACAACAACAAAAAGCACGGACTAAAAATACGGGACAAAAAAAAAAAAAAAAAATGGAGAAAATCCGTGACACGGAAAACTAAGAAACGAGCTGCTCAGACCAACAAGACAGATGTGAAGAAACAAGGAAAATACCTGCGCCGACCACAGATGTTTAGACGTGGAGAGACATGTGCAGGATCAACCGCTACACATGCCCGAAATAATACTTCCACAAAGACGACCGGCCACACCCCAAACAAACACACACAGAGAAACCCCCCACAGACAGGCAGGCGAGGCGTGCACTGTGGTTTGGAGGAGCAGAACAGAAAGGTACCTTGTGTGTGTGTGTGTGTGTGTGTGTGTGTGTGTGTGTGTGTGTGTGTGTGTGTGTGTGTG